CCAAGAAGAATCTGGTCAACACTCAAGCAGATGCTTAAATACAGTGGAGAGCAAACACAAAACAGGAGGCAAAGCACAAACCCTACACCACTCTGGCGCTGTGTGGATGCACCAAGCAAGCGTCAGTAGAAAACTCAAGGTTAAAAAGAATGAGGAAGACGACTGAGCCAAGTAAAAACAAAAGCAAAGGCAAATAAAGAACAGCAAAAGATAAACTGCTGCTCTCCCAGTGCAGACCAGCTTACAGCTTTCTCTCCTCCAGCACCAACTCTCCTACACAGCAGAAGTGTGAGAGGATCTACTCAACAAAGAACGTGGCCAATTTATTTTCTTTTTTAGCAAAGATGACCAAAACGTCCCACAGACCACAGCAGGACAGCACGCTCTGCCCTCCTCCAACAGCCTGGGTGCCATAAGCCCTTGAAGAGCACCCAAATTCACACCGAGTGTAGGTGGACTCCGCAGCAGGGATGGTCTGGAGCTCACCAGGAGAAGTCTGGGATCCTTCCGACAGCAGGAAGGGAGATACCTCGTTGTGGGCGCTGGGGGACATCAGGGCATGTAGACAGATGGGGGCTGTTTACATTACTGAGGCTCCCAGTAGCAATCAGGAATTAAAGCTGTTATTAAATCAACCCTCCAGAACTTTGAGCAGATGTTCATGCAAGCAGATAACAACGGGGTGATGTTAAACCAAAACCCCAAACGAACAGAGACGCGGAGCAACATCTCTCCCCCACGTTCTGCTCAGCAACGCCAGGCGCTATCGGAGGACAAATCAATTACCAGCAGCTACGTCGAGCTGCCCAAATCCGGGGCTGAACAGCTTAATTGAGGGACGTGTATCACGAGCTAAAGGCCTCCAATCTCATTTGGCACGTTACGGTTTTGTCCTTGAAAGAAAAACACCCAATAATAGGTCTGGCTGTGGCTCAGACGGAGGCATAATGCCATCCTCCTCATTAATCAAAGGCTTTCCCCATGTCCAGATGTTTGCTGACTTGTACTGCTTTCTTTTATTACTGGTTTGGAGACAGAAATTGCTGTATGCTAAAGTTACTCAAATTGAACTGGTTGTCCCTGCTAACTGCACCCCGGCATTATTGAGTTACTGAGGCATTCAACGAAGAGTGGCTGTTTGCTTTGACAATTCATACTACTTTCCCCAATAACCATGAGAGTAAGATGCTAATTTACTTTTAGGACTGTGGGAATTTTACTGCAAACCCAGAAAGGAGCCTGGTTGTTAGGATCTATCAACACTTGATGCCCGGGGTTTGGAAGAAGGAGAAATGTAGAAAAATGCAGAGTACACCAGAGAGAGAACGTGCACGATGATAAGTAGACATATTTTTCAATAATTCCGAGCAACAAAAGTGATGCTACAGCCAATACAGGACAGGAAGCCATCCTCTCTCCCCAAAGCTTTCATGATCTCAGTAGATAAAGTAACCAACCCACAACGGGAAGCGTTGGCTGGAAGGGACTTCTGGAACTCTTTGAGTCCTGGCATCACCCACATGAGACCCTGCTGGGCAGAGCTTCTCCCAGCCAAGCCCTGCAACCTCCAAGCCTCCTTCCACAGGCTCAGGGAGCTGAGAGCTCAGGGACACAGCTCTCAATGTTTCCAACCCTTTCGCTCTCTCTACTCTGCATCTATAATATCCCCTTCTTCCCATAAATCTATATAATTCACTGGGGTTTAGGAGTATCCCTTGGTGCAAAGGAACCATAACTCAAAAGCACTGCCTACATTCCTCTAATGCTTTTGTTTTTAAACAAATTAAGCCCGTGAGTTACTGAACATATGCTCGACATCCCCAGCTCTCCCTGGCATGTTTTTGAAAAATAGAAAGTTTGTGCTTTTCTGGAGAGTCAGGTCATTAACCCGACTATTTAAAAAATCAGCCTATTACACAAGGAAACTTCTAACTGCCTGAGCTGCAGGTTATAAATCTCCTGTTTAGAAATCTGATATCCTGACATAATTGCCCTTACAACTTACAAATAGGTTCTCTGTTATCCATAGATTAAGCTTCCTCCAAAGCCACATCACATCTGCTTAGTTTTGAAAATATACAGCACGAGCTTCAATTACTTTACACTCCACACAAAAATAATCCTGAATTTAACTCAGGGCTTCTTGGAATAAGGGTTTAAGACCCCATAATCTTTTTATTTCATGTTTTCTTCCAATCTAATAGATGGAAGCACTGGCCAGCATGTAAAATTAATGCCACCTTCCACTTCTACAATTTCCCAACCATTTAACTGCGTTGCAGTGGAATTTTTAAAGCAAATATGGCAAGCAGAAGTCCCACCATCTAAATAATCTAAAATGTTCAGTAGGGAAATGGTAAGCTACTAATTGGAACCACAGTCTTTTCATGTCCCTGTAGGAAGATGGTTTGGTTTTAAAGAAACCTGAATTAAACTGTAATTTCTCTGAAGGACGAAGCTTCTGTTACAGCTCCTCTGATTAGTGAAACTGATCTTGGATCCCAACCACTCGGGCAAGCTCCCAGTTAGAAGTGTCTGAACTTCAAAGGGGCAAACTGGGGCCCTTCGGCATCATCATCCAGGTGCATGGCATTAAACACGTGTGAGCTTTTAACGAACCGGGGGCTTAGTGACAAAAAACTGCAGCAAGCGAGGCAAAAAAAGCCAACTCCGAGTTTCAAAGCTACGTCCCTTCTCAGCGGCGGGGACATCACTCAGCGCTGCCAGAGACAGCCAACTTTTCCTTAAACGACTCCTTTGCCTAAAGCAGAGAGCAAAGTGCTGGCACAGTCGGGTTGGGAGACCCATTCAGGAAGAAGTCATCCCTCTCATCCCAACACAGCCTCGCAACATCCGAACACGGGGGATGCCTGAGGGGGTTCAGCCGCCCCTGACCCCACAGGTTACCGGCATTACCTCAACTCCACTGAAGCGGAGAACGAGCCTCACCAAAGCCAAACCAAAGCCTGCCCGCTGCTTCCACACCAGCAGCCACAATCCCTCGCTGGAAAGATGTTTAGAAATGGCACTGCGGGGCACCATCTTTTTAATTCTTGCCCAATTGCTTCCAGAGATTAGATTTGTAAAGAGGATTTTTTATTTTCTTTTTTAAACTACAAACGTCGCGAGCTCGTTGGGAACTGGAGGCTCAGCCTGTGCCTCCCCGTCCCTCACACCCCGCCCTGCCTGGGGTCTTAACAGCACCTTTTGTCCATTATGTGTCTCTCTGATTAAACTCTCCAGATGAGAGGCTGTAACTGGCAGAATATTTGAACACACCAGTGCGAAACGAGAGCAACGAACCCCATCCCACAAACTGGCCGGGCAGCTTCGCCCGCAGCTCCCGGCCGAGCTGGGCTCACTCGCTCCCCAACCACCTCGTGTCCTCCCACGGCTGGTGGAGGCCACAGCCCCTTTCCGTGCCCGGACCCACTCGGGAGCCCACGGGCACCGCGTCCCCTGCCCACACCAAGCTCTGGTTCCCACCTGAGCGGTGCCGTGCCCCGCGTCCGGGCTCGCAGGAGCTGCTCCGCTCACGCCTCGCCCGCAGCCGCGCTCCCCTGCGGGACCCCTCGAGGCCAGTGGGTGCCACCACCCCCGACAAGCCACGACCCACAACCGGGGCCTCCTGCCCCCCGCCCGTGCGGGACGGAGCCCGCGGGGCTCCCCCAGCGCTGCGGCTCCCAGGCCCCGCAGGAGCCCGGCGAGGCGCTGTCGCCCCGCGGGACAGCAGCCGACACCCCCTTCCCTGCTCCCGGGGGAACTTTCTGGAAGGCGCCCCCCCGCCCCCAGACAAAGCCCCGGGCGCGCCCCCCACCCGGCCGCGGGTCTCACCTTGCGGTGCTTGTCGGCGAAGGGCAGCGCCAGCCAGGGCATGGCCCGCACCGCCTCCTGCCACTGCTGCTGCTCCTGCTCGGCCGACACGAACACGATCTCCAGGCGCTGCCCGCCGGCCGCCGCCGCCTCCCCCCTGAAGCGCCCGTAGAAGGCGGCCAGGCTGGCGCCGAGCTGCGCGCAGGGGCCGCCGAGGCTGCAGCCGAAGTAGAGCCCCACCAGGGAGACCCCGCGGGCGGCCAGCGCCGACACGGCCACCTCCTCGCCGTCGGCGGCCACCAGCACCTCTCCCAGCAGGTCGGTGAGCGCGCCCGCCATCCCGGTCCGCTCCCGCACCGCTCCCGCCGCGCTGCGCGCCCGCCGCCCGAGCACGCGCCGCCCCGCCCCGCCAGGGGGCGCTGCTGCGCCGCGCGGCCCCGCGCCCGCCCCCGCCCCCGCCCCGGGCAGCACCGCCCCGGACTGGGACCGATCCCGGGACTGGGACCGATCCCGGGAATGGGGCCGATCCCGGGAATGGGACCGCTTCCCTCTGCACCGCTTCCCTCTGCACCGCCCCGGACCGGCCCCGATCCCGGGAATGGGACCGATCCCGGGAATGGGACCAATCCCGGGAATGGGACCGCTTCCCTCTGCACCGCTTCCCTCTGCACTGCTTCCTTATGCACCGCCCCGGACCGGCCCCGATCCCAGACCGGCCCCGATCCCGGACCGCTTCCCTCTGCACCGCTTCCCTCTGCACCGCTCCCGGCCCCTCTCCCAGCGCCTAAGGCGGCTCCAAGGCATACGGAGACCGGCTTGGACAAGGGCATGGAGTGACAGGACAACGCGGAATGGTTTCCCACTGACAGAGGGCAGGGGTAGATTGGATACTGGGGAGAAATTCTCCCCTGTGAGGGTGGTGAGGTGTTGGCACAGGTTGCCCAGAGAAGCTGTGGGTGCCCCATCCCTGGAAGTGAAGGCCAGGCTGGATGTGGCTCTGAGCAACTTGCTCTAGTGGAAGATCCCCCACCCCACAGTAGGAGGGTGGAACAATAATGTCCCTTCCAACCCAGACCGTGCTGTGACATCCTGCTGGCCCCATGTGGCAGTGAGGGTTGGACCAACCCTCCCAAAACCCTCAGAACAAGTGTTTCCCTTCTTTATTTTCAAAATCGAACGTAAATACATGTTTACCCCTAACAAATGAGGGCAGAAAAACCTGCAAGCCAATGCAGAAATATTAAAGTAAATTGGGCTGCGTTGAGTTACACCGTCTGGCTGGCTGGAGTACAGAAAGGAAATAAAGCAGAAATGGTGACATGCAAACCAGGCTGTAAAATGTATTTGCTCTTTGCAATCAAAGCCTGCAATCTGCAAGCCTGTAGAATTCACTGCAGGATCCTCAGCTGCTTCCGACTGATGTCCGTGTGTCCACGCTGCAGGAGAGCCCCAAACCAGCCCACTGAAACCTTACTATCTACTATAAAAAACACCTTTATTTTTAAAGCCCTTCCTTATTTGGCTTCTCGTAATGGTTGCTGCTTTCAGTTGTATTTAAAATCGTTGTGTAGCATCCAGAGCCATTAGGGGATGCTTTATAAATACAATTAATTATCATTATTATTATTATTACAGCTTTACAATCCCTCTTTTCTTTTGCCAAGACCTGCTCCCTAGAGGTGGTTCAAAGCAAGAGGAGTTTTGTCTTGTTTTTATTTGTCCTGCCTTATCTGCCTTAATTAAGTATCTGGGCTCTTCAGGGCAAGGAAGCTGTTTTTTAAGTCTGCAGCCCCGAACTCGACCAACCCATGCAGCAAGATAAATATTCTGCTGTTGTAAAAATAATATTTACAACTGCAGTTAATATGTCTGGCCCCATCTTTAGTGAACAAAGCAGGAGGAAGATGCTCTGAAATACAGAACAAGTCAAAAGCATTTCTCTCTCTTAAGGAACAATAAAATAAAAAGCAGCTGTTATTACTGAACAATATCACAAGGTGAGGTGTGACTGAACTGAGGTTACACCATGGTGAGTGGCTGAGTGTCTGCCTAGGTGCTGGTTCCACAGCAAAATCATGGCTTCAGGTTGCCCATTTGAGAACCAACTTGAGACATCGGTATTAGAGAGCCAAGACAACACCCCAGGGCTTTTAACAAGCAGTTTCTTGTCTATATAGTGCCCACCTGCACTTTTCTAACTCCTATTCCTTTTTTTTCTGTGTACTGTTTTTTTCATATTGCATCCCCTTTGACTAGTGTATATATTGCATTTTTCACTATTTAGCAAACATTCTTCCAAAGTATTTGCCAAATATTTGGCATATATTTGGACCATATTTGGCAAACATTGTGATTTCCCCCGGATTTTTAACAAACACCCGATGCCCATTAGGGTCTTGTCGGCACGGAAAATTACAAATACTCACGGAACGAGGCAGGGTCAGAGTGCTGAGCCCGAGGGGCGGAGACAAGAACGGCTGGAAAAGGGGGTCCGGATCCCCCCCCTCTCCGTCCCCTCCCGTCCTCGGTGCTGCTCCCGGTGCTGCGGGAGCGCCTGGAGGGACCTGCGGGGCTCCAGTGCCACCTGCCGGGGACACCGCGCACGAGCCACCCCGGGATGGGACCGAGGAGAAAAAGTGGCTCAGGGGGGACCTTATCGTGCTATAGAACTACCTGGAAACAAATTGTAGCCAGGTGTGTGTGGGGGGGGTCAGTCTCTTCTCCCAGGTGACAAGTGATAGCACAAGAGGAAATGTCCCTGAGAGGTCTAGGTTGGGTATTTGGGAAAAATTCTTCACCAAAAGGGTTGTCCAGCCCTGGAACAGGCTGCCCAGGGCAGTGGTAGAGTCACCATCCCTGGAAGTGTTCGAAAACCGCGTGGATGTGGCGCTCACAGACACGGGGTAACCTGGCAGTGCTGAGTTAATGGCTGGACTCGCTCTCAGAGGGCTTTTCCAACCTAAATGATTCTGTGATTCCAAGCTCATCAGGCTTTGTGGCTTCTGCCCAGCACCAATGACACTGAGCTGGGGGATATACACCCATCAGCTGATCCTATAGTGTGACACAAATAAAAACTAATTTGACTGCAAAAGGCTCTTTAATGTTTAATTTAGCTGTATCCTGAATTCCACATTGCACAGAGGGGAGCAGATTTTCCATGGCATCTGGACACTAGCCAGCAGTAGGGTCTCTTAAAGGAAAGGGACACACTTCAAACAGTTCAGTGTTTGACATAAATCCATTGTGTCCTGACTATTTTCTTATTTGGTAGCTCTTAATTGCGACAGTTCCAGACATGGTGCATTTGTGAGGTTTATTTTAGTAGCAGGAAGTTGGCTGCATTTCAGAATATGGACATACATATCCAGAGAAAGCCCAGGGTAGCCATCTTCTGGGAATCTGCAATAAAAAAAGGGCTAATCCTGCTCTGCAGATGATGCAAACCAACTGCAATCCTTCTGCTCTCAGCTGCTTTCTTCTGGATTCACATCAGCATCGCTGAGAACTGCACAGGGTCCCAGCTGCCAAAACCAGCTCCAGCAGGGCAAGCCATCTGCCTGCTCCAGCTGGTTTGGGGCCAGTCACACATTAACTCCTTTAAACAGGTCTGTGTTAAGGTGTCACCCTTCCAAAACGCTGCTCCAGATTCGCTGGAGGTCTAAAACAGCCGAGTTCAACGATGTTACACTGCAGTGGAATTTGACCCTTCAAATTCTTCTAACTGGTGTTGCAACCCTGTTAATATCCGGATTGCTGAGGGCAGCCTGTGCTACCTTTGACCCTCCTCATAGTCTGGGGGCTCCAGCAGATGAGCCCCACTGAATCTTGTTGGGCAGCTGGCAAGGTCCTTGTCCCCGTCACAGGAAGAGAAGGGGTGAATGTGGGGCCATCCAGCGCCAGGGCAGGGCTCAGCTTGAGAGTTTGCACAGATCCACATCCCCCTTGGCAGCTCATAGGGCCATCTGAGAGGGGGCAGGCTGAGCCAGCACCCAGTCTGTCCTGCCAGTGATGAGGGAGGCCTCAGCGCACATCAGACCAGGTCCTGGGGTGCCCATTCTGCTGCTTTCCAGCAAGATTGGGATTCACATGTCACTGCAGAAACACAAAACAGCACTTCTGAAAGCAAACAGAGTTGGTTTCAAACAGCAGCAGCAAAACACAAGGAGAGGGATTTCAATCACAGCCCTTCTTGTGTGTGTTTGGCTCTCTGGGGACTAGCCCAGGACCTGGCTCTTGGGGCTGGGAGGTAACATTTCTCCCCTGAGCCTGAAAAGATATGGGTTTTTATTTTCAAAGTCCTTTTCCCCAGGTCTCTGCCTGATTCTCTCCCCACTCTTTGCCAGCCAAGGGTATTGATCTCAGCAGGGTCACCAGTAAACTTCAAAGGGACTCACACTTGCACTGGTTGTTGAGGGACCATGAATGGCACCATCTGAGTCTTATCACTTCCCTCTGCCTTCAGAAGAGATAACAGTGCCTCAGGAACACTCTGGCCATCTCAGCCAGGCTGCTGACAGTCACACCACCAGCCAGGACACACCGTTTGCTGATAATTACTTCTGTTTCTTCATAGCTGCCCCTGCAGCACCATCCCACAGGCAGCACAGGCTCTGGCACATGCACCCAACACCCGCTGCTCTGCTGGCCACAGGGGAAGGAAGGACCACGGAGAGGAGCACTCTCTTGTCCTGAAACACCCCAATTTCATCATGGCACATAAAATCAAAATGACTGTGGCTATGACTCACCACTACTACTATATAATTTTTCACGATGTCACATCATACCTGAAGGAACAAGGGGAAAAGTGAAACATTAACAAGATCTTACATTTCTAGCTGGTGACACGACAGTTATAAGGCACCAGGGCAGCATTTAAACAGCTGGAAAACCGAGCCCCACTTTCCACTGTAATTTTCCGTGCATTAGCAATAGATTTGGTTACAGCTACTTGGTTACAAGCACCTGCACTTAGGTAGAATTTCAATCCTGTAACAACCCAAGCTCCCACCCAAACCAAAAACTCCTTCTTGCCAGGTAATGGGCAAACACGGCCACGGCCACCCCAGCCCAGCCATTCCAATCTCCACACCAGCTGCACCACTGGGCACTGGCCTGCTGGCTGGGAATCCCTGGACTGGGGGACAATCCCAGGTCACCCTGCACATGGGGTACTGGTGGGTGGATGGAGGAGAGGAGGAAGGTGCCCAGAGCCAGCTGCCCCCACTGTTACCACGATGCAAGTGGCAGAGGGGACATTCCTTTGGTCTGGGAGCATCTGTGCTCAGATGTCCCTGCCTTTGAGAGACCTCTGTGTTGGAACTCACAGCCAGCACGTAGGGGGTCCTAAGCCATCACCCCCCAAGGAGGTCCCCAGTCCATAGCCACCACCTGGGGGTCTCTGGACCTCTGGTGAACCCCTGGCCAACACGTGTGTGGTCTCCTCAGAGGGTCCCCATCCCACAGCCGATTAGCCGGAGAGCTGCAGATGTCGGTGAGTAAACGGGGGGGGGGCCCTTCTCCCTGCCCAGCAGGTCCCCAAACCCCGCACCAACACAAATGGGAAGTCTCCAGCCCATGCTCCCCCCAACGGGAGTGTCCCCAACGCCCCCCAAAACCCCACGGTGCGCTCCGGCTCTGGCCAACACGTGTGTGTGTGTGGTGAGTCCCCATCCCCGCACACGTGGGCAGAGCGCGGCGGGTGTGGGTGTGGGTGTGTGTGTGTGTGTGTGGTGTGTCCCCCTCCAGTCGGCGCAGCTTCCCGACCCTGAGCCGGATCACGGACACGACCCTACCGTGCCGTTCCATTCCGCGCCGAGCATCCCCCGCACCGCCCACAGCGCCGCGGCCCCGCGGGCGGGATGCGGCCCCGCCCGTGCCCATAGGGCGGGCGGGGGGGCCGGGCGGGGCCGGCGGTCGGACCATGGCGGCGGAGGTGGCGTTGCGGTGCCTGCGGGGCGCCCGGAGCCTCCTGCCCGCGGGCGCCCGGCGGGAGTGCTGCGAGCTGGCTCGGCTGGCGGGGCCCGTGGTGAGAGCCGGGGCGGGGAGGGACGCGGGGGACACGCGCGGGGGACACGGTGCCCTCCCGCCGGAGGTGCTGGGCCGGGGGATCGCGGCGGGGGCTCGGCCACCCGGAGCCGGGCAGCGCCCAGCGGGATGCGGAGCAGAGAGACCTCGGGGCCGGGCTGATCCCTCGGGCTGATCCCGGGGATGAACCTTGACCTCCCCAGCCTCCGGGCACGGCTCCGCGACCGCGGATATGCCCTTCGCCCGCGACGGGGCCAACCTGATCCCTCCGCGGCTGCTGCAGGCACACCCAGGCTTAAACAGTCACCCTTCGTGCCTTGGCTGGCGCTAGATGCTTATTCTTCGCCCCAGGAGCTCCTGCTGCTGCCAGGCGTGGTCCGTGCTGCCCTGCGATACGGCTGTGGAAGAGGAGCTGTGGGCTCGGGGTGTGAGGGGGATAAGCTGTTAAACTGCTCTGTGGAACGAGGCTGCAGCCCCAGCACTGCCACGTTACCCTTGGGTGACAAGGAAATCTCTTTGCTTAGTGTCAGCTCCTTGGCCAGCCCTTGCAGCAGGCTCTGGGTGCAAAGGTACCTTATAACTCGCTGTCCTGAAGTCCTCCCTGGACTGGAACTGGAGGTTGATGCACCCTTTGGAGGGAGATGCACCCTTGGGTAGTCAGCACAGACAGTGCTGAACACATTTTGCAGAGGCTTCTGCAAGGGGAAGCACGCACCAACAACCCCAGTCTGAATCAACTGCGTGTGAAGTTTTGTGCTTTTAACTTTCTGCCTTATCTGGTAAATAACTGCCAACTGCTAAACTTTCTCAGAGACACCCTTCCTGACGTCAAAGCACTGACTTCCTGAGATCGGTCAGCAGGGGATGTACAGGCTGGTTTCAGTTTCTGTAGCTGAACACAACAAGCTCCCTCGGTCCCCTCAACTGTCCCACTTGTGGCACAGCCTGTTCCTCCACATGCACAGACATCCTCAAACCCAAACCTGCAGCTACCGTTAGTTACTGATCATTTCATGTCAAACCCTGTGCTGGGATGGTCATGGAGGTACAGACCGGACCCTCCTGTGGGGATTACTCACAGCAGCAGGTCCAGCATGCCTGGGCCTGGCAGCAGGACTGCACCTGCAGGCAGCAGTGGGAGGTCTGCAGAGAAGGGTTTGTTCTGCTCTTCCTCTGACCCCACAGAGCTGGTTCTCCAGCGGTGCTGGGCTCTTGGCTTGCCAACTGCTGGGTGGGAAGCAGCACAAGCAGACCCTGGGCATGGTTTCCAGTTGTACCCACCCCTCAGTGGGTATGAACATCTCTAACATCTACCATCTGTTTTGAGCTGTGCCACAACTCTGTGCCCTGGATACCTGTAGAAGCGACATCCTCTTGCCAAGGGAAAATGAGGTTTGGAGTGCAATCTCTGCTGCAGCATCGTTGCACTTCGCTGTAGGCCCTGGAGAGGAACACACAGAATGGCCTTGGCGTTATCTCCAGGAGGAGAGGATGTTGTGGTTTTGGAGGATAGTTTTCCACAGATGCACGCAAATGTGAAAAAAGCATTGGGACGTTTTATTTTTCCTCTCTCTGCAACTTCATCCTGGGAAAGAGGATTTCTAGTGAAGCTGTTAAGCCTCCCGTAAATGAGGTCATCTGGTAGATTGGCTGTGTAACACCAAAATACTGCAGGGCAGGTAGATGTCTGCTTTGAAACACAAAGCCACGGAGAGCCTGGGTGAGTCCCAGAGCTGCCTCCCACGCCCCAGCAGTGTTGGCAAGCAGGGACAGGTTCCCAGGACAGCAGAGCCCTGGCCTGGAGGCATAGACCGAAACACCAGGAAACCTGGCTGTTCATAGGCCAGCTCCTGGGGGAGGGCTGATGTTCCACAAGCCCTAATGGGTCCTCATCTCACCAGTTTCCTTCTCCTCTCATCCTAGTTCTTCTCCCAGCTGCTGGTGTTCCTGATCAATGTGGTCAGCTCCATCTTCTGTGGCCACCTGGGGAAAGCTGAGCTGGATGCCGCGTCACTGGCTGTGTCTGTACGTATCACTCCAATTCCCCTCGGATTTAAAACACACAAATTAGGTATTACAAAAAAAAAAAAAAGAAGAAAAAACCTCAAACCTGTAGGAACGTACATGTGAGGGCCCTGTGCATCAGCATAGCCTGATGCAATGCAGACATCACACCCACCAAAATATTCTTCCTTTTGCCCTGAGCACAGGCAGGAGAGGGGAGCTGAGCAGGCAGTTCTTGTGCCAGTGCAAGGCCAGCACCTGGGCTGGGAGCAGCACTGGTCCTTTAGATACTCACCCCTTCCTAGAGGATCCTTTTCCCCAGCAGAGGGGAGAAGAGTCTATTTAGTTAACAAGATTTGTTATTCTGGGAAATAGAGAAGGGCTGGAAACTTCCCAAAAACTTGTAGCAGAACTGTCTACCCACCCAGCTGGGAGGGACTCAGTGCTCTGGGCCAGAATCCCTGTCTCTCCTCCAGGTTATCAACGTGACAGGCATCTCCATCGGGTCTGGTTTAGCCTCAGCATGTGACACCCTGATGACCCAGGTCAGTGGCAGCTCCCCCTTTCCTGTGCCTGATGGGGTTTACCTAGTGCTGTCTCACCTCCTGTGCAGTGTGATCTGGGCACAAAGAGCAGGGGGGTGGCAGCTTCCAGACAGAACAGGGTTACAGACACCCTGGCTGGAGCCTGCTCCCTCCTTGGAGCTCCCTCAGGGAGCCCTGGGTCCCTTTGGGTAGCAAAGGGATGTGCAATCCACCTGAAGGCCAGTGACACCCAACCAGCCTGGCATTCACCGCTGCAGGACGTGGGAAATGCATTTAATCAGCCTGTTGTTGCTTAAGAGTTTGCCCAGACCCTTTGGCTCCCTGAGACCCCCACCTTGGTCCTCTCTCTCCTTGCTCAGACGTATGGCAGCAAGAACCTGAAGCAGGTGGGCACCATCCTGCAGCGGGGCATCCTCATCCTGCTGCTGTGCTGCTTCCCTTGCTGGGCACTCTTCGTCAACACTGAGCAAATCCTCCTGCTCATCCGACAGGACCCCGAGGTCTCCAGGTCAGGGGTGAGATCCAGCCCTTCTGGATCGGGGCTTTTTGCTGTGGGTGGGTTGCTCTGTAGTGTTGAAATCAAGCCTCTCTGAAGCTTGAGCACAATGCTGTTTGGCTTGGCTCTTGCTTTGCTGTAATACTAACTGGGGAAACAACTCTCTTTCCAGGTTAACTCAGGTCTACGTGATGATCTTTTTTCCAGCACTTCCTGTAAGTCTCTGCTAAAGCTGTTAGAAGCTCTGTGTCCCTTAGTAACATGAAGGAAAGGAGGGAGGGCCTTTGTTGTGTGGCTCACAGGGCAGGTTTAGGGGTTTACAGTGTGTCCCTTGACTTTGTGCCTTAACAGATGTGCATTGGCCAGCAGCTGCTGGACCAGCAAACACGATCTTCCTGTGCAAAGGCTTTTGCTGTGGCCACACAAGTGGTGGTGGACATTGGAACCTGGGGCTCCAGGCTCACTCTTAGCTCCAAAATGAAGGCTAGAGCTTGCTGTTCACACACTCACAGCTGCTGGGCTCCAGCTGGTTACTCCGACTTCTCTAAGGCAGGGAACAGTACCCCTGTGGAATAAGGGTCTGTAGGTTTATCCTTTCTTCTAAGCTTTCCAAGCTTTCTCAGGCTGATGGGGAAGCATAGGAGATTTCCCATTTGGAGACTGATCTCTCTTCCCAGGGGGAATCGGAGGTGTCTTCTGTTACTCTTTTGGGTGCAGTGCTGGCAGGTGCCACACTTCAGACAGAGCACAGGAACGGGGTGTCAGGAAGGTGCTGGCTGGGGCACCCCAAAAAGGTGGTGGGAGGACTGGTCTGTCAGTGTTTGAGGGTTGTTGAACCACGGTCTGATGATGAACTGAATCCTGACTCTTGCAGGCGGCGTTTCTGTACCAGCTGCTGACAAGATATTTACTAAGTCAGGTATTGTATAACCAGCCAGTTCTGGGCTGTACATTAAAGGTATTCCCAGGAACATGGATAAAGTTGGGGATCTGAGTTCATCCTGTTCTTGGGAGAGCTGGGCTGAGCAATGTGCGATGCATAGCCCCCCAGCTGGCCCTGGGAGAGCTCATAGGAACCACCCTTAGCTGGCTCCATTTCCCTATGGCTACTTCCCAACTCTGTTTTATGGGTTGCACCAGCTCCTAAGCCCTGCATGTCACCTTCTGCATGTCACCTTCTGCATGTCACCTTCTGCATGTCTAACACAGCCCAGCCTTACCTGGAACAGGAGCTGCCTTCTTGGCTTTCTCCTTGGGCACTGCTGAAGTTCTCCCTTGTGTTCACTGGATGGGGCTTGGGCAGCACTAGGGAATCAAACTCCAAAGTCCCTCCTTGGCTTCCAGGAGATCATTCTGCCTCAGGTGTTGACCGGGATTGCAGCCAACATCCTCAACGTGGCCATGAACGCCTTCTTCCTCTATGCACTGAAGCTGGGCATGGTGTAAGTGTGAGCAGGGGTGGTCACAGTCTCTCTCTGTGTGCTCAGGGCTGGGGGGGTGTCCTGGGTGCCCAGTTCTGCCACCCTCTGCCCCTAGACAACCAGCCTGCAAAGATGAGGCTGGAGGGAGCAAGGCTTGTGTGGTACAAGGCTTGAGCAAGACCCACTGGGTCTCTCCTGCTGTAGCTGAGGAGATTGGGAAGGATGTCACTTGTAACTTGCCTATCTCTCTCTGCAGGGGCTCTGCTTGGGCTAACACTGTTTCTCAGTACACTCAGACCATCCTCCTCTTCCTTTACGTGTGGTGGAAGAAGATCCATGTGAAGACCTGGGGAGGTACTGTTATAGTTTAATCCTTCAGAATACCAATGTCTGACCCTGGGAATTTGGCACTGTCACCAGCATCTGACAAAGGGATTGTCATCCCCTCACAGTGGGAAGATGCTGAAGTCATGTCCTCGAGGCCGTTACTGTAGCTCCAAATACATTCTTGTTGAACATCCTGTCTCAGGAATGCAGCATGGCACAGCAGAAATCCTAGGCAGGTGTCCTGTGAGCTGCAGTGATGGTTGTCCTCTGAGAGTGTCCAGAAGAGCATATGGTTCCCCTTTGGGGATGGAGAGGGAGAACATGTGTTCATTTTGCTTCACGTCCTCATTGCAGGTTGGAGCAGGGACTGCCTCCTGGACTGGGGCTCCTTCATCTGGCTGGCAGTGCCCAGCATGATCATGATATGCATTGAGTGGTGGACCTTTGAGATTGGGAGCTTCTTGGCTGGTGAGTCCAAATCCTCTTTTCCTGTGGTTCAACAGGCTGCCTTACAGCTGTACCTGCTCTGGTGGCTGCTTCTTGACTGTGTCCCCAGAGCTCCTCCTGCCAGCAGCTTCCTCACCTACAGGACCGGGTCTGCAGGACACTGCAGGTGTTCCCATCCATTCAGTGGGAACTCTGTAGTCACTGCCTCCTTGTCAGCAAACAAAGGAGGTGATGAATCTTTTCCAGGGCTGCTCAGTGTGGTGGAGCTGGGTGCACAGACCGTCATCTACGAGCTCGCCGGTGCCGCCTACATGGTAAGGGCTGGGTGTAGGAAACCCCAAACAGCCTGGGAACAGCCCCCAAACAGTGGCTCTGTGGTCAATCTGAGGTGGGAACAGGGGACAGTACCAGGCAGGTGATGCCTCTCAGACCTGCCACAGCAGCTGCACATCCAGGTGTGCTGCAGATGGAAAATCCCTTTACTGCAGCCATGCCAGTTTGTCCCAAATTCCTCTCTGGAGAAGAAAAAAATTGCTGCAGGCTCTGTTGTCACTGCAGGCTCTCCTGCCACTCACCTCCTCTTGTCTCCTGCTGCTCAGGTGCCTCTGGGCATCAGCGTGGCTGCGGGTGTCAGGGTGGGCAATGCCTTGGGATCGGGGGATGCGGTGCAAGCCAAGACCTCCTGCATCACTGCACTGCTGTGCACAGGTGAGCTCAGGTCCTGCAGAGGGGAATGAAGGGCAATTATCAGCAAATAGTTGAGTTCTCACAGGGCTGGGGACCCCCCATAGGAACCCAAACCCCACTTGGTTGGACCTCTCAGGCAAGGCAAGATCCTGACTGCTCTTTTCTTTTACGAGCCTGGTGCAAAGGCTTTGGTATTTAAAACTGCAATTTAGCGTTCTGCCCTCCCCCTCCAGAAGGCAGAGGGAGTATCTGGGGAGAGCTTGAGGAAAACAGCCTTGTCCTCTGCTGCAGTATCACTTGGAGGTCAGCCAAGTCCAATCCCCATCACACAAAGCCTTTGAGGTCTGGGCCTGGATCGGGAGCAGGACATGCTGCCCTTGAAACAATGTGACTATTTCTTTTTCTTCTCAGGAGTTATTGCTGTGTTGGTTGCAACGTTACTGGGATGCCTAAGGGGCGTGGTGGGATACATCTTCACCAATGACAAGTGCGTTAACAGCTTTCTCTCGAGTATTATCACCTTCTTGGAGGGTGTTATTTATATCCCAGAAGCTGCTGACAGATAAGAGTTCATAAACCCCCACCTGGCAAACATGTTCCCAAAGGTTCCTCCCCGTTTCCTGGAAGCACAGAGGTTTCTGGCACTGGGGTGCTACCCTGGTAGCAGGCTGGGATCAGGGAACTGTTATCAGCCTTTGCAGCTGGCTGAGGGAGATATGTGGGAACCTTGGTGCTGCTTGCCCTGATCAGTACATACATCTTCCCAACAGGGAGATCGTTAACTTGGTGTCCAAAGTGATGCTCATTTTTGCTCCATTCCACTTCCTTGATGCGACAGCAGTGAGTATTCCAGCGTGTGGAGTGATTCCTCCCTGCAGGCTGGGGTGCCGTGGAGGGTGCAAAGCTGCCTGTAGCTCACTGTAGACCTGTTAAAGCGATGCAGAGAAGCCAACTGATAAGCTGTCAAGGCAGCTGATTGTGGTACCTCGGTGTCCCCTGTGCTTGTAGTTGTCCCTTGGCATCGCTGCAAACAACCCAATTTTTCCTCCTCTTTTCCCCTGGCAAGGCTCCAGATTTTTACTGGCTTATCAAAGCAGCACAAGTGAGCAGCTGGGTGTTCAGAGATAGTGTGCTTCCAGCATATTGGCAGTGCTCATAAACTCATTAGGTAGTAATTTTGACCTGTTTCCTCCTGTTGTGTCCTGGGGAGAGGGACCTGGGCAGCATGGGAAGCTCTGTGGGATCCGCTGGTGGTGCCTGTTGGTGTCGGCAGCTGGAGCAACAGGAGCCCCACACTGTGTGCTCCAGGACGTGGCTTTGCTCCCTCCTGGCTTTGCAGTTCAGTGCTGTGGGTTCCCCTGTTCCCAGGGCTGTGCCAGGCCCCGGGTCTGCTGTGGTGGTACCTGACAGGGATCCCTTTGCTCGCCCTTCTTAGGCGACCTGCGGGGGAGTGCTGCGGGGCACCGGGAAGCAGAAGCTGGGTGCCATCGCCAACACCGTCGGATATTACACCCTGGGCCTGCCCATCGGCGTCTCACTGATGTTTGCAGCCAAGATGGGGGTGTTGGGTACGTGTGTCCTCCACCTGGCACTGGATGACCTGCCGTGAGCAAAGGCCCAGCCCTGGAACTTGTGCCGGGATCTTCCTGTGGATCAGTGGGGCTGGATTGCACATTGGTGTGTTTGGGGCAGGCGCTGAGACCCCCCATCAAATGGGGGCTGAGATGTCCCAGTAAATCCAGGCTTGCTCCCAGCTCCCCTAGGAGCTGTTTCCTTTCCCATTGAGACTGGGTTGGACATGGGGCAATTCTCTGACCCCACTGAGGTCCCTGGGCTTTGTAGCAGTAGCTGACAAAGGCAAGTTTTTCTTGAGCCCTCCCTGAAGTAACTTTCCATTGCTGCAGGTCTGTGGGTTGGGATGATCGTTTGCGTCTCTGTGCAAGCCTTCTCCTTCTTGGCTTTTGTCATCCGCATGGATTGGAAGAAAGCTGCAGAGGAGGTGAGACTTGTGCTTCTCTCTGGTAACACTTGAAAGGTGCTGGGTGAGTTCCTGTCCCAGTACAATGCAACAGCCCCCTGTCCCAGTACAATGCAACAGCCCTCTGGGAGGAGGTAGAAGTGAACTGGGATCTGTTCTTCTGTAGCAGAGGAGCAATTTGGTGCTGAGCATGCTTGTCTTGGGAGACTGGAGAGTTTTCTGGGCTGGGCAGGACACCCTTGCCCTGAGAAGAGCAACTCTTCCCTGTGTTTTTAGGCTCAAGTCCGAACTGGAACAAAAATACAACTGGAAGATGTGAACTCCAATGGCACAGCTGCTAACACAACATCTGCTGTGGGTATGTAACCAGGCCTGACACCGAGGTGGGAGCCCAAATTCTCCACCCAACCCCTTCCTTTCCTTCCCAGTCATGGCAGCCGTGTCTGTCCTGCAGGCTCAGATGGCTGGAAAGAGCACAGTGCCCGGTGCTGGTCCCAGGTCTGCCCTTAGTGACAGCATACAAGATACTCTGTCACCGTGCTGGCTGCTCCAGGGAAGAGCCTGGGCTGCCAACCCATGTCTGCCTCACCTGGGGGCAGCTGCCACTTTGCTGGGGCATATCCTAGTGTCCCAAGCTTTGGGAAAGGACGCCCAGGACTGTTACTGGCTCTTGTGTAGCATCAGGCTGGAAGCCCCTGACTTGGCAGCTCAGCTTCCCTGCAGCACTGGCCTCTCTGTCACACAGATTACACCTCTGTTGACACGGACACCGTGGACACCGTGGCCTTGCCTGAAAGCATCGTGGTGGATGAGAGGGAACCTGACCACGAGCTCATCACACAGGAGGAGCCCGTTGTTGTTCTTGTCCCTGCTCCTGGTGCCATGACGTGGAGGGCCCTGATCCTCCGCCGTGTGCTGGCTGCTGCTGCTGCTGTGGCTGTCCTGCTGGTGGGCATCCTGGTCCGGCTCCTGACTGGCAATGGCTAGAGCCAGTGACACTGGGGAGGGTGCACAGAGCAGGAGGGCACGTGGTGATGTCTCAGGAGGATGGTGGGGGGAAGGAATTCCCCCTCGCTTCTTTACAAAAAGTCCCTTTGCTCAGCTTCTGGTTAACTCACAATGTTTTGTCCCACAGTCAGAGTTCTTAGAGGGGGTGAAGATGTGGCACTTGGGAAAAAAAGTGCTTGAGAGCTGGTTCCTCTCCTGCGTTGCACTGGGATGTCACTCGTGATAGGCGGGAGCATATCCCGGGGCTGACCCTGGGAGGAGACAGGGTCCTTTTCCTGCTGCCTTGCCCCCTGAGGGCATTTGTCCATATCATTTGCTAATGGCAGGGGCTCCTGCTGCCCATAGCACATTTCCTGGCCTGTGCCAGCATCTTGCCGTGGCAGAGCCCACTTGCAGCTGCTGTGGCAGCGCAGGGCAAGGTGGATTCAGCTGGAAGATGTCTGGCTGCCATTTGGGTGCTGGCTGCTGGCCCCTGGCCCTGCTCCCCCTGTGGCGGGGCAGGCACAGGGCCTAAAGCAACTCTTCTTTGCACTTTTGTAAGGTGGGATTTTGATACAATAAAGTTTTCTGAGTAAATGTTGGGCTGTTTAATGTGGTGTGTGCATGACCCTGGTCATTGGCATGACTGTGCTGTTAAGAGGAAAGACATAGGTCTGGTTTGTGCAGCCTGACAAAGCCTTAGGCTTCTGGCCCTGAGGTTTGGGGCTGGCTCTGGGTATAGTGTTATCATTCTGCTCCCCTCGAGTACAAAAGCAGGGTTTGTGCTCCTCAATTGCTTTCTGCACTGTTGAGCACCAGGGAAGAGGGTGGATGTGTTGCACAGCCCTCCAGAACCACCAAAGAACTGCCATATGTCATAATGCAAACCCCCATCCCTGCCTGCCCTCAGCACTGGGTCCCTCCGGCCCTGTCCCAGGCTCTTACCTGCAGCTGAGTGACTGAGACGTGGCACATGCTGGGCCCTTGGAGGTAAATCCCGTGTAGAGCAGATGAATGGCACCTCCCTGTCACCCTGGTTCGGGGTGCTGGTTACCTGTGGGCTGGGAATGAAAAGATGTGATGTAAACGAGCTTGAAACTGCCATCATCCCCAACACCCAGGGCCTCTGCCCAGCTGTGGGAGGTTGTGGCAGACTCTGCCTTGCTCAGAATCCCGTGAGGTTTGGGATGGGAGGTCTCGCTCTGCCCCATGAGCTACCCCAGCCCACCTCCCGCTCCCTGCAGGAGCAGGTCTAAGCTGCAGAGCAGCTCCCTCTGCCTGCCTCCCCCGTGGGCCAAGGACACTATATTTGGCCTGGGGGAGCTGTGCCAGTGAAACCCGACACGGTGGGGCTGTGCCAGGCCGACAGCTGGAGCCAAGGGGGCCGGCTTGTCTTGGTCACTGTGATGAGAGGGGCCGAGACAGGCAGCGGCCCCACCACTGCCGGCAGCAGCTCACCAGAGACCACACACAGATCCAAGAATCCTCCATCGCTGCTGGAAGAGGAAGACAACCCTCCACCCCACTGGCCGGCAGAGCTGTGGTGAAGCAGGAGAGAGGTACGAGGGCTTGCAGGGCAGATTTGGGATGGCTCAGCCCCTATGCTGGCTCAGGGCAGGCAGTAAGTGCCTTGCCGGGCTCCACTGCACTGCCAGGACCCTCACTGGGCTCCCCAGCTCCGTGCCCTGCCCTGACCCACTGCCCACACTTCCCATCAGCAGCAGGGAACGTGTGGTCGGATCATCCGGCCCCGGCTGAAGTTCACCCCACCGTGGTTACACATTGCTCACCCCACCGTGGTTTAACAGAGCGCGGAGAGAGGGGTTGTTCCACTCCCCTGGCAGAGCAGCAGCATGAAGCCGGAGAACCTTCCTGAGGAGAATGGCAGCACGAAGACAGAGAACCTCCCCGAGGAGAATGGTGAGGCAGTGGCCGCTGGCCAGGACAATCTCACACCCGGGAGCTGCGAGAAGAAACGCCACTGGATTCAGCGCCTGGTCCCAGATAACTTCTGGGAGGACGTGAAGAAGCTGCTGGTGCTGGCAGGGCCGCTGGTAAGGACCCGGGAGGAGAGACACCCCCCCCCCAGCACAACCACCCCTGCTCACCTCCATCACTAACCTTCGCCTCTCCTCTCCTCTGTGCTTAGATCCTGATCCAGCTGCTGATCTTCCTGATACACCTCGTTAGCTCCATATTCTGTGGCCACCTGGGCAAGGTTGAGCTGGCCTCCGTCACGCTGGCCATCGCTGTAAGCATTCCCAGTGCCAGGCACGAGCTCCCCCCGGCCCGCTGGCGCTGGGATGGGATAAAGGAATGGCAGCAGAAAAGGACAGGAGATTTCAGATTGCCACTCTTCCTTTTAACCCCTCTCCCTACCTGAAAGTCTTAAATGCTCACCCTCACTCTTTGTTCTCTTGACTCCCGTTCCCAGGTTATAAATGTTACTGCCATCTCTGTAGGTTATGGTCTGACTTCAGCATGTGACACCTTGATATCACAGGTGGGTAAGACATGCTGACACTTGTCTTGGGAACACGGGGATTTCCAGCATCAGCTGATGATGCCCCATGGAGCCCTGGCTGCTCCTGCGAGCTGGGAAAGCTTGTCCCTAGGTAGCAATCCCATAACAGGGAGATCCATGCTCCAAATCCTTCCTGGGTGGTCTTCAGGGTGGTCACGGCTGCTCTGTGCTCTGTGGGGTCCCTATCCCCCAGCACCAGCTGACTTTACCACTGCCCTCTGCGCCTTGCAGACCTACGGCAGCAAGAACCTGCTGCGGGTGGGGGTGATCCTGCAGCGTGCCACCATCATCATCCTCCTCTGCTGCTTCCCTTGTTGTGCCATCCTCATCAACATCGAGCAGTTAATGCTCCTCATCCGGCAGGACCCCGAGGTCTCCAGGTGAGGTGGTCCCATGGCCCCTTGTCCCTCCCCAGCATGATGGGGCTGAGAGGAGGGTGGCCATGGCCCTGCCCCTCCCTAACCCTGCCTCTGTGTGCCTCCAGGTTAACCCAGCACTATGTGATGGCCTTTGTCCCTGCTCTCCCGGTGAGTCCCTGTGGGCACCCTGGATGCCTTCCCACTCCTACTGCTCAGCACTGGCTCACCTCATCCACCGATTTCCTTTGCAGGCAGTTTTTCTGTATAACCTGGAGACAAGATACCTGCAGAACCAGGTAGGTCCTGAAGTCCTCACACCCAGGAAGGGTCAGCCCCGGCTCAGTGCTCCCTTCCACCATGAACCCAGGGTTTCCATGCTCACCATTCCCGGCAACAAGGCAGCATTTGTCCCCACCCCTGCCCAGGTGCCCCAAAACAGCTCTAACCCCGTAGATCACCCCACCCCACAGCCAGGTGTATCCATCCACCTCCCTTCATACTTCCCCACATCAGGGATTTACCTCCAACACATTCGTTTTCCAAGCAGGCAACGTCACTGGAAGTTTATTTTCTGCCTGGGAAAGGCGCTGAGCCCAGGGGCTGGTGGGTACCTTCACACCTCCCTCCCGGAGCCTTTGTGAAGACACCGTAGTCCCGTCCCCTCTTCTTTGCAGATGATCATGTGGCCGCTGGTGCTGAGTGGGGTCATCGGCAACATCGTCAATGTGGCTGCAAACTGCATCTTCCTCTACGTGTTCCACTTCGGCATCACGTGAGTTGCACCTGTGTCCCACGGAGGGGACAACGCGGCACCTGGCAACGGCAAGGGAACACCGAGCATCTGCTGCTCAGAGGGGCATGGCAGGACGTCATGTCTCAGCACCCTGAGGCCAGGGAGGCTTAAGCAGGATGGAGACAGACCTTTCTCACTTCCTCTGCAGGGGCTCTGCCTGGTCCAACACAGTTGCTCAGTACTCGCAAGCCATTTTCTTGTTCCTGTACATCATAGGCAGGAAACTCCACGTGAAGACCTGGGGAGGTGAGGGCATCCCCCCTGTTCCCTCTGGTTCACGCTTTACCCAGGTGTCCATAAAACTTCCACCACTTCTATCAAGCATTCCTGATGGAAGACAAACTCTGTTTGTCCCGATGGTGAAATATTAACCCCAGCCCCACACGCCCCGGGTACCACGGAGCTGCTTCGGTGGCAGCACGTCATGCACGAGCGCTGGCAGGGTCCGTGCCGGGCACTAAACATTAATTCTGGAGAAATGAAACTTCCTGCTGAGGCTTTCAAGGGTTCAGCCCCAAAGCCGGATGAGCACAGACGTAAGCACGAGGTTGCCCTTAGACACTCTGCTCTGGGAGGGATGGGCTGAGGGTTGTGCTGCCCTGTGGCCCACAGGACAACATCGGAGAGCACGTAGGTGGAGCTCTGCTGCTAGAGGTCCTGTGGAGCTGAGGAGCATTGCCCTGGTGGCTGTGAACAGGAATGGCACCTCTAGCTGCCTCGGGTGCTCTCCAGGGTGTAACACATGTCCAGTCTGGTCATCCATCAGGTGATGTTTCTCCTCTCTGCAGGCTGGTCCAGCGAGTGCCTGCTAGAGTGGGACAGCTTCACCTCCCTGGCCATCCCCAGCATGCTCATGATGTGCATTGAGTGGTGGACCTATGAAATCGGGAGCTTCTTGATAGGTCAGTGGAGAGAGGAGCTGCCAGGAGATGACCCAGAGCAGCAGCTGCAGCAGCTGCAGGGGCTGAGAGCAGCTCTCCCCTGGGCACCCACAGCCAGCACTGACCCCCTTCCTCTCCCCCAGGCCTGCTGAGCGTTGTCGAACTCTCCGCCCAGTCCATCATCTATGAGGTGTCTGTCGTTGCTTTCATGGTAAGGACTGGGGTTATTATTACAGATCGGGGTTCCATAGAGACCGTCCCGAGATAGGCACCCAGCAAAAATCAGCTCCAGCAAACCTCCATCTTCCCCCTCTGCACTTAAGCCTCTCCCTGCTCCTGCCTATCCCTCCTACAGAGATGCCTCAAATCAAATCCTGAACTCCGTCCCCCTCTCTGCTGGGTTGTTACTCCACTGTCACTGTGACAGCCCAGTTACCCAGACACACACACGAGCCTCAGCCCTGTGGTTGCAGATCCCCCTGGGGCTCGGCACAGCTGCCAGTGTGCAGGTGGGGAATGCTCTGGGTGCTGGAGACTTTGAGACAGCCAAGAGATCCTCCACCACCAGCCTGCTCTGCACAGGTCAGTCCATGACACACTGGGAAGCCTCTGCCTCTGGGCTCCTTCCAGGCAGAGCAGGGGCAGGGAGCATTTGCCACTTCTCCCACTTCTCTCTCCCTTCAGCAGTTCTGCATCATGGCCAGGCTGGGCTCAGCACTTTGCTCTGTTTCCAGGGGCGTTCTGCATAGCCGTGGGGATCATTTTAGCCTCCACGAAGAACGTGCTGGGATACATCTTCACCAAGGACAAGTGAGTGCCCCCGGCTCCTGGCCTCGGTGCACGGAGGTCAGTTCCCAAAAGTGATCATTACCTTGTCTCTGTCCCCAGGGAGATCGTTGACTTGGTGGCATGGGTCATGCCTGTCTACGTTGTCTTCCACTTGTTTGAAGCCACGACTGTAAGTTCCAGGGAATACTGCTGTTTTCCATAGGGCACCTCGGTGCTGAGCAATAGCATCGTGGTCGGTGGGTCGAGGGTCCCTCAGGCTGCAGGTGAGCACTGGTGCCCACACCAGGACCCTGCAGGGATCCCAGGATCATCCCTTAGAAAATACAGAGTGTATAAAGAGATGGTGACCCACAGGACTGGCCAGGGACACAGAAATAAGGGGCAGAGGCGGGGAGCTGGTTCATCTACAGGAAGCAGCACAGCTCTGAATTCAGCCGAGTTGGCAGTCCCTGCCCCAGCCCCTCTCCCTCTCCCTGCAGGGTGCCTGTGGGGGGGTGCTCAGAGGCATCGGGAAGCAGAAGTTTGGAGCCATCCTGAACGCCGTGTGCTACTATGGTGTGGGCCTGCCCCTGGCAGCTGTGCTGCTCTTCGTGGCCAAGATCGGTGTCATAGGTACTGACCCCCGGGCACGCAGCTCTGCACGCCCCCAAATCCCCCACGGGTACATGCAGCTCCCCCCAGCTCCACTGATGGCTCACCATGACCCTGCCTCGGATCTGCCCTCCCTCGGATCTGCCTGGGGACAGGGCACGCTGGGCTGGGCTGGGCTGGCCCCTGCAACTGCTGAGAGCTTTTACTCGTACTGGGAAGAAGTAACTGCTGCCAGGTGTGCCAGGCAGCCCTGCAGCAGGCACCCATGACCACCCCATCCCTGTGTCCCTGCTGACCTTGGTGCCATCCCTGTCCTTGACCTGCTGTCCCGAGATGCTGTCTCCATTGGGTTTACCCCAGCTGACACTGGCGTGCCCTCTGCAGGCCTGTGGCTCAGCATGCTTGCCTGTGTCTTCATCCTCTGCACCTGCTTCATCATCTACATCTCCCGCATGGACTGGAAGAAAGCAGCCGAGAAGGTAACTCAGGCACTGCCAGTGCCGTGCCCTGCCAGCAGGAAGGTCCTCAGTGCCTTGGCTGTGATGGCACTGGGGTGAGACAGCAGCACGGGCTCAATCTCACGGCCTGCGCTGTCCTCCAGTGCCCCGAGCTAAACCCAGTGCTCCCATGACTCACATCCCAGTGTTCAGCTCCCTCCTGCACATGCACTCAGTGGCCTCAAGGTCTCCCTCTGTGCCCGCTGCCACTGCCTGGTGCCATGCTTGGCTGGGGGACATGAAGCACAGAGCACTCAGTCCTTCAGCCCTGAGCATCACCTTGTGCCCCAACAGCTCTGGGTCTCCCTGGACCTGAACCCCATAAGTGGCAGCACACTGCCTTTGCTCAGTGGGGATTCCCCACACCACGTGTCGCTGCCTAAACCCAGCACGTTCCCTCCCCAGGCTCAGCGCCGTGCAGGAGTGACCCAGCCACCACCTGAGGAGCCGAACCTGGGCCCTGAACCCTCCTGCAAGGAGCTTCCCCCTGATATGGGATCAGCTCCCCAGCCCCACACTTACCTCCCTGCCAGAGCGGTGTTGGGGAGTGTTGGTATGACCAGGAGCTGGGCATGGTGGGATGGGGGAGCTGGGCATTGTGTGCACTGAAGGGTTTGGGTCCAGAAAGTGTCCCCAGGGATTCACGTAAGTCAGGAACAAGCCCACAAAAGGGGGTGCAGTGCAGTGCTGGTGATGCCCTCAGTTACTGGGAGAACAGTAATTACAAGTGCGGGCTGGGGAGGGTGCAGGAGGCTGGTGGAGGGCCGACCTCCGAGCACCCTGGGCAGTTCTCACCTTGCAGACACCAGGTCCTACTGAAGCTCTGTTGAGAGCTGGAGATCTCCACACTCTGGGTTGTTTGTAACATGCTTTCAGACCTCTGACAAAACCCCCCCAAGAAACCCCTCAGTCTCCCCAAAGCCCCCAGAGACGCTGTCCCGTTCTCCTTGCAGCAGGAGTGGATGTGCAGAATGACGTCGTGCTCACAGGCATCACCAGGAGGGAGGGCTCGACGTACCAGCTGGAGCTCCAGGAAGCCACTTCTACCATCTCCTCTCGGGCCACCCCTGTGGTCACCAAGGGGCTGATCATCCGGCGTGGGCTGGCAGTGGCTGCAGCCATCGCTGTGCTCGCGCTCGGCATCGCCGTAAAACTGATGACCAGCAAACACTGACTCACAGCAGGGACTTTGGGGACTTGTTTTTGTGGTGAAAGCCCCTCCTGATGGACAGATGTTAAAAGCACAGACCAGCCAGCAAGAAAATTCAGCACTGGCCTGTCCCACAGAAGTCAAAGGGCCACCGACAGCGTTCGGCAGCATCTGCTCAGACATTGCTTGGGAACGGGCCCTGAGGCTGCTCCAACACCCAAAATGCTGCTCTAGGCTACCTGACACACACTGAGCGTGTGGGTGATCCCCTCCAGCCCATGCTCAGAGCCAACCAGAGCTGAGCACAGCCCAGCTCACATGACTGCTCTGTGAGAAATGCCCAATAAAGAATAAATCCAGCTGGAGTCAGGCTGGCTCCTTTGGGTGGAGGCTGAGGGGGGGCTCGGTTGGAGCAGGGAACATTCGATGCTGGGGGCTGCATATGTGGGTCTTGCCCTGCCCCAGGTGGCCTTCACAGTAAAACAAAGGTTTTATTCAGCCAGGGTCAAGATCAGCTCTCAGTTACAAGTTTGGAGGTAAAAGACTACCCAAAACCCAATAAAAACCTGAAAATGAGTTACAGATGAGGTGGCTGGCTGCTCTGCCACTCTGGCCAAGGACATCCCTGACCTGGCACCCTGGTTGCAGCAAAGCCCCTGTCTTTGCCCCAGCAGCCCCAAAAGCAGTGCAGCAGCAGTGCAGTTGTGGTCCCTGACACTCCCTGAGTCCTTGGGACAGTGTGGCTGCAGCTCAGAGAGCCTTTGCTGTCAGTCAGGTGGCCTTTGCACACCTTACATGGCTTTGGGTGATTTCCCTGCAACCCATTCGGTCACGAGTCCCGTAAAGGATGGGATGCTGCAGGTTCTTCCAGGCTCCTTCCCTCTGCTCTGGGGACAAGTAGCCTGGACTGTCCCCTGCAGTGAGACCCACAATTTGCTAGGCTTATTGCTGTAATGAGCCAGCTTCCTATGGGAATCAGGCAGGCATTAAGTAGATAACAGGCTCAGTAACAACTGGCTTTGTTTAGGTACCCTTGTGACAAACACTCCCCCATTCCCAAGAGTTTCTAGATAAGCTGCTGTTTACAAAGCAGGGTGGATGCTGTTTCCTTCCATCTGGCACTCACTGCTCAGGCATGACACATGGCCTAGGTCTTGATAAATTCCTGCTTCAGCAGGAGCTGGAACCTTCAGCTTGGACTGTCTCTGCTCTAGGTATTTTTTGTTGTCTTCTACCTCTTCAGTGTGTGGGCTGCCTTGGAAGAAATGAAATTGCAGCAGAGAAAAATTCAGCACTAGGACCGCAGGGAGTGAGTGGTGGGTTCCGGGGCTGGAAAGCTGCTGACTGCCCATCACCCCTCTTGTCAGGGGGAGAATATCTGGAAAGGCACAAAAACAGGGATGAGTCCCCCAGGGAAGGAACAGAGCTCGAGGAAACGTGGCTGTGGAGGCTGAGGGCAGATGGGGCTCAGGGGCAGAGCTGGGAGCACACGCTCACACGGACAGTAGAGACCCGAGGCTCACCTTTGCCATCACTGCTTTCACAGCCCCCAGCAGGGCCGAGAGGAACTGTCCCACTCGCCAGTCGCTACAATGCTTCAGGAAGACGAACTTGGTCACATCCAGCCTCTCCTGGCTGAGAGGTGGGTACCGCATTTTGTTCAGAACATCCAGCTTCAGGTCCCTGATCAAGCAGGTGCGGCGGTGGGAGAAGGTCTCGAAGCTGCACCTGCCATGGTAGGCTCCCATCCCGCTGTGACCTGAGGGACACAACCCAGGCAGGTCACACCATGCACAGAGACACCTGCGCTTCTTAAATTCTGTTTGACAGCCCCCAGGACACGGGGAAAGCTTGGTCATGCTGCTTCTCACGCCTGGAGCAGCTGCTCTGCTCCCCCAGGGCACAGAAGCAAAGAGCAGCTTTATTAACTACCCAGAAATAGGTGAGGACCTGAACTGCTGCTCAGGCTGGTTGTGTGCACCTACCCTTGAAAGGTTAATGGCACCAGTTCTCAACTCTCCCAGGGCTGCCCTGATTCCCTCACAGAATTTTCTCAGGGGTCGGTGACAGGAGGAACTGAATCTATGATTTCAAGGAGTGGGACATGAGGAGGACATTCAGCACCCTGAGACCAGCAACAACCAGGACCTCAGCCCTCTGCCTACAGCCAGGCTGTCCCTGCTACATGAGCCTGCCAGTGACTGTGGAAACTCAGCCAGCCACTCTGCCCCAGGCAATTTATCCTACACCCCAGCACAGGAGAACCAGAGCTCACATATGGGCCAGAGGCTTTTCCTCTCTCACTGGGAGGCCTAAAAACCAAAACACTAATGAGCCTTTTTACAAAGAGAAAATAACAGAAAAAAACTCCACAGAAAATAACATCAATGGGGAAAATGCAGCTGAAAGTTCCTGAATTCCCAAAGGGGCACAACAGCACATGGGTCAGAGGATGTTGCTGGGAGACTGAATCCAGGGGCAGGGGGAGGAGCAGGGACTCACCCACACCACCGAAGGGCAGATCCGGAACCATCATGTGCATGAGGACGTCATTGGCTGTCATGCCACCACTGGAGGTCTCTGATATCACCCGTCTGATCAGCTACCCAGAATGGGAGATGGCACAGAACAAGGGAAAATCAAGATGGGACACAATGCCATGTTCCCAGAGGGTTCAAGCTGGTGCTTCCACCCCATTGCTTTGTGCAGGGCACAGTCTGTGCCTTGTTCCATGGGAGAGGCCAGTTTACATCACCTAAGCACAAGATCTGCCCGGCTGGAACAGCCATGACCTCAAAAGGCTCCATCTCAGTGGGATAGGTCAGAGGCAGAGGTGCATCCACCCAGAGCCTGGGGTGCTTCTCAGCCCTCCCACACAAACCACCTGGGGCTGTTGTGCCAGGACAAAGCCCTGCCCTGAATTCCTGAACTGGCACAACAGAGGCCAGAGCAAGGGCAGGAGACATGCCAGGAGCCAGCACCCACCTGTGTGGGCAGCCAGCTGAAAGGAGGGGGAGACGTGCAAACCCAGAGCCCTTCAGCAGCTCTGGGAAAACTCATGGCCCCTGTGAGCCAAACACTGCAACTCACATGGAAAAGGAACTGACACAGACCCTGCAGAAAGGTCTGTCTGGCACCAGCCAAGTTCAGGATCCAACTGCACAGAGGCACTGCTGCCGAGACCCACCTTCTTGTTGTTGGAGAAGACATACAAGGCAAGGGGCTTCTCTCGACGGTTGATGAACTCAATGGCTTCCTCTACGCTCTTCACGGTCACAATGGGCAGGACAGGCCCAAAGATTTCCTCCTCCATCACCTTGGAATCCGGGGAAACGTCTGTCAGGATGGTCGGTGCTGCAGCAAACAGGAGAACAGGAGAACAGTGTGAGCAGGACAGAAGACCTGGTCCATCACAGGACCTCACTGCACTGCCTGTGTGCAACGTAACCCAAGCAAGGCACTCACACAGACCCCAAAGGGCACCCACTACCACCTCCCCTCCCCAGCAGCAGCCACAAGCACCTATGAAGCAGGAGGCCTCATCACTCTCTCCCCCGTGAGCGATCTTCTGCCCTTCCAGCAAGCCCACAACTCTCTTGAAGTGACGCTTGTTGACGATCCTTTCATAATCCGGAGACGACTTCACGTCCTCCCCATAGAATTCCTGACAAAGGGCACAGCAGAAACAAAGTGCTCAACACACCTGCCAACAGCCACAGCTCCAGGAACTCAGACCTGCGCTGCAATGGGGACAACTCCCACAGCACAAGGGACTCCCTCCTTACCAGCAGAGTTGCCTTGATGTTCTCCACCACCTGGCTCTGGATGGATGGGTCACAGAGGATGTAGTCTGGGGCGATGCAGATTTGCCCACAGTTCGTGTACTTCCCCCATGTTATTCGCCTGCAGGGGAAAGGGAGGTGGTTTCTCCACTGTCAGCCCCTTCCACATCCCACAGCCCAGCTGACAGCACCTGAGCTGGGGACACTGGACCACAGATGGCCCCCTGCCCCACTGCTGAGGGGGTGCAATGGCCTGACCTGCAGGTGACGGCCAGGTCACAGTCCTTGTCGATGTAGCAGGGGTTCTTCCCACCCAGCTCCAGGGTGACGGGTGTCAGGTGCTTGGCAGCTGCTGCCATCACAATTTTGCCGACTCCAGAGTTGCCGGTGTAGAGGATGTGATCAAACCTCTGGGTGAGCAGCTCTGTTGTCTCAGGAGCTCCTCCAGTGACCACAGGGTACAGCTCCTGCAAGGCAATGGTGTCAGTGTCACCCCAACCCTGTGCATCCCTATGGCACAGAGAAACCTGGGGACCAACATGGGGTCACACTCACCCGGTCCAGGTACTGGGGGAGGAGATCAGCCACCAGCTGAGCCGTGTTCTCACTCACCTCCGACGGCTTCACCACCACAGCATTGCCTACAGGACAGACACAGCACGGCCTCTGAGCCCTCACCCTCCTCTCCCCCACCACCCACCCACAGCCCCACAAAGGACGGGCCCCACCTGCTGCAATGGCCCCAATCAGAGGATGCATGACCAGGACAAAGGGGTAGTTCCAGGCCCCGATGATCAGCACCACTCCCAGCGGCTCAAAGTTGATGTAGGCCTCGTCCCGCATCGTCATCAGGTTCTTCTTCACAGGCTGAGGGGCTGCCCAGGACGGCAGCTTCTCCATGGTCAGGGCCAGCTCCGCCAGCACGCCCAGGATCTCATGGCTGTACGCGTTGGGCCCACCCTGCAGTGACAGGGAACTTGGGGAGGGGATGGCAAAGGCACCCACCTCCCGCACCCACAGTGGGGACAAAAGGCAAATTCTGCTGGTTGAAAGTCTCTGACACTGGCAGTGCTGCCCCAAAGGATCCCTGGAGAACACATTCAGTCTGGGGGGTGTGAGACAGAAGCCAAAACTTGACAGCCAGGGGCTGCCTTTGCAGTACTGCCTTAGACTACCTCCTTCATAGAAATGGTGGCAGTAGACCTTGGCAGGCCACAGTGGGAGCCAGGGCCATGGGGGACAAGAGCAAAAGCCACCTGGCACAGCAAAGGCAACCCCTGGCCTTCCCACTTTGTCTTCCGGGCTGACTGCTGTCCATGCAGGGCTGATGGGAGAAACTCCCTGACCCAGACCTTGTGCAGATCCGCATGGAGGGCTGCCAGGATCTCCTTCTCCTTCTCCTTCACCATCCGCTCCAGGGCCTTCAGCTGCTGTATCCTGAACTCCAGCGAGCGGCTCCGGCCCGAGTTGAAGGCGGCTCTCGCCTGCCTCACGACCTTCTCAATCCTCTCCATGGCTGCTCAGGGCTGCGGGGAGACACAGCAACACCCAGCTCACCACAGGGCCATCGAGGGTGCTCAGGCCTGGGAACATTTAATGTGGGGTCACCACCATGAGATGTCCCACCCAGAGCAAGGCTGTGAGATGTTCTCCTCCTTGGAGGGGAGCTCCTGCCCCCAAGGCGACTGCTCAGGGCCCACACTCTCCAAGCCCTGTTCTACTTGGCAGGGTCCAACACACAGCACCTCTCACAGCAATCTGGGGATGGCTGATGGATCCTGCTCTGTGGCTGCTTTCTCCCAGATTGAGGATACCCTCAAACCCACCAGCCACTCCACCCTCCACTGACAGGGTGCTCCCCAAGGAACCAAAACACTGGGATGACCACGGCCTGGGTGGGCAGCCGGCTGGAAGCAGAGCTTTGTGCCCAGAGCCCGTCTGCACACGACTTCCCCATAACTCCAAGGCCCCCCCATGTCTTTGCAAAACATGACAAAACAAAAGGTTTCACCCTGCTTCCCAGGAGCAGCACTTTTTAGTCAGGATCTGCCTGCATCCCTGCCCAACCAAATAAGACATTAAGGTTCCCCGACAATTAAAATCTGCCCTTCCCAGCCTGCTGCCACAGCCACCTCACACAGCCCAAGTCCTGTCCGAGAAAGCAAATGACTCGTTAAAAAATGAAGGAAAAGAGAAAGTTACCTCCAGAGAAGCTTCTCTCTCCACCAGTGTCCCGCAGTGAGTGCAAGCTGGCACAAGCCCTGCCCCTGCCATGGCTCGGAGCGATCCCTCCTCCCACGAGTGGGCAGCTGGCCCGGGCCCAGGGCTCTTGCTAGATACAAGATGCCCTTTACCCAGCTCTATCCTCAGCTGTGAACACACAAGCCCTGGATCTTCCCGTCCAGCCGGGGCAGTGACTCAGGGATTGCGAGAGACAGCGTGGCTTTGCCCACATTGGGCACATGAGGCCGGGGAAGCGCCTTCCACATGCACAGCTGCTGTTGGGAGCCAACACATGCAAGACATGGGATCTGAACAAACCCCAACCAGCAGGCCGTGCCTGCAGATGGGAAGCAATCCAGGGATGGATTTGTGCAGAAGCAGCCCAGCTCCTCCACAGCCCCCCCAGCCCCAGCTCACCCCACACCTTCCCTGGCTCCAGGCACCTCTTCAGTGCCTGCCAGAGCTCTGGGGGACCCTTCCCCATGAGCAGAGAGATCACATGTCCCCCTGAACCAGGGCAGAGACATCTCACAACACATGTGTGACATTTGGCCAAGCCATGGCCACAGCTGGGAGTGGCAGAGGATGAGCAGGATTCCTCAGGAGACTCCAGGGACTTACCACACTCGGTTTATTACTTAAATTCTCGGTGTTTATTTAGTACTTGCAAAATATATCATCAAAAAGGCTTAGCACATGGGTTTTCACCAGCCACGAAGAAATCCTACTTATTGCACAGTAAATATAACTTTCTACTCTATATTAATTGCATTTAGTAATAATTATTTAATTTGCCTTATTTTGACATTAATATTTCTAAGGCTCTTTTACATTCAGTTCTTTCAGCATCCTCCTCCCAAGCTCGAACAAGTCCCACATTATGCCCCATTGCAAGATTACAGCAGCCCCAGAAGCTCAAACATGAAGGAGCACACACTCTTTCAATAATTGTTTTCCCTTGGAGCAATCTGACCAGGAACGGCTTTGTACTGGCTTTGGCTGGGGTGGAGTTAACTTTCATCACAGTCACTAAGTTTCTTCATAGTAGGATGGTGCTGTTTTGGATTTGTGACATTGGCAATGATGGCATTTGTCTTCCCAAGTCACCATCCTGCTTTTCCCAGGATGGCTGAACACCTGCCTGACAAGGGGAATTAATGAACAGATTCCTCAATTTGTTTTAATTTGCCTGCATTCCCAGCTTTCACTTCACCTACTAAACTATCTTTCTCTCAAGCTACAAGTTTTCTTACTTTCACTCCTCTGATTCTCTTTCTCATCCCACTGGGAATAAGGGAGCAGCTGCACAGAGCTGAGCTAACCCACAAGGTATTTTGTCATTCCCACTTCTCTAAACAGGCCTGAAAGTTCTTTTGCACGAGTGTAAGATGCTCATCAGCACAATACAGGCAGTGCAGGTACCACCTTTGTAATTTTCTAACAGTTAAATAATTGTTACAGCCATATGGTGAAACCCAGAGCCCCAAAAGGGCACCAGCCTGCATTCCCTGACCAGCTGTGGATGATTCCAATTTGCAAAGGTCCATGAATATTTCACTTCAAATGTCATGGGGAACCTCACTGGGTTCATTCACAACCATCACTCTTGGTCAAATGCATCAGCCAGCATGGCCTGTCTCAGACTTGTCACCAAGAGGGAGGGTGTTCAGAGCACAACAGGAGACAGCCCATCCCAAAAACTGTCAACCCAAGGATTGCTGAAGCTGAAGCTCCTGTTGGTCACTGAAGGAAGGTAAGTGGTTTGGTATGCCCCTCAAACAGCACTCTGCATGGCATGGGGTGGAGATAGGGACTGGAATTTCTTGCTCTACAGTCCTCCTTCGGAGAGCTTGTCCCCTCTGGTCCCTCTGTTCCAGCATGGCTTTTTAGCAAACAGGAGTCTGAGCCTTCTTGTTGTTAGTGCCTCTCTAAGGCTACTCTGTGTGCTCGACAGCTCACTGAAATCACCCAGAACAAAAGAAAATAATGACTTCCCAGCTTAAGGAAACAGACACAAAGCAAGCACCCAGAGTATGGCTGGCACACGGGGCCTTCTCCTCTTCATCAGTAAACCACCTGTGAGAGCAAAACAACACCAAGGTCCTGTGAAGGATTTGTGAGACAAAACCAATTCCCTTTCTAGAACAGCCTGAAGCAAAGCCTCTTCACTCGGTGACTCCCCCAGGGCGCAGCTCGCCTGCCTCCTGCCCCTCAGCATGCACTGCACGGTTATCTTGGGTGCCGGACGAGCTCCATGCACTGCCAGAGAAAGCGTCCTGCTCTGGCTCTTGGGGAGCTTTCTCCAAGCCCCACATTCACCACTCTACAAAGCTCTCCCCGATCTCAAACTAGGTCTACACACAGGAGAAGAAAAAGGCTCCTACCTCACTGTGACAGCCACAGCAGTGCTCTGAAACCTGCTCCTCCTTACCACCCGCTGGGCCAGCCCAGCCTCTGCACAGCCAGCACAACCAAGAGGGCTTTTCTCTTCAGCACAGACTGGTGGTTCTGAGAAACCCAAATGATTTCAAGAATGCCGTGAGTTTCCCCCCTCATTCACCTAGACAGGGCCTGCCCCCCTGGCTGGTGCCTCAAAGCCTGAGCCAATTCTTTGGCTTTTGCACCTCCTCCTGGAATATGTGGGCAGGTTATTTTCCTGGCTTGTTGGGCTTCTGCACCTCTCCTCGCAGCAGTAACAACACAGACTGAAGGGCAGAGTCCTGATCCACCCTGCCACCTCCTGTCCCCTTGGGCTGCTCCCCTAAGCTCACTAAACCCCACGGATGCACAGCTGAGCCTTGTGAGGAGCAGCCAGCGAAGGCACTGCAGTACCTGGTTTGTCAGACACAGAGAACCAACAGTGATCACAGTTGGGAGATTTAGATCTTGCTCCTCCACCTCAGGAGGCATCTCGAGGCCTCCAGCCAGCACCAGCAGGCCTCTGCCTCCTGCAGAGAGGGGAGGACATCCCACCCTTCCGCACTACCCAGCTGGAAACAAGGGAGGAAATGGGAATAATTGAACTGAGGTCAGACAGGGGCTGAAATTGGACAAGGATGAAGAGCTTGTAGACCTAGGCTTAGGGACACAGCTTCCTCTCCCAGGGTGCCATGGCACAAACTGCAGCTGTCAGGGCTGTAGAGCAGCTCAAACACTGCTGAAGGAAACTCTGGAGTTCAAACCACTCCTAACCTGTCCAGAACTACCAACCTCTGCCTCTGGAGGGAGCATCCCACGGGTGTCACCTACCAGAGCAGTGCCACAAGTAGTACAGCAGCCCGGGAGATCTCTCTGGGGACATTCCTATTCTACAGACCACTGGTAAGAGTGAGAAGCAGATCTTGGTAATTTGAGGTGGGACAGAAAAAAAAAGTCCCAAGAGAGAAAAGGAGGCCAGGCTCTAAGGAAGGGCTGCAGTTTGCAAAGATTGAACTTGCAGAAGATGAGGTGAATTGCACATGCACCCACTTAGGCCCAAAACTCACCTTCATCATCACCGCTGCCACCACCCCCAGCAGGGCCAGGACGGCCAGTCCAATTCGGCCCCTGTTAAACCGCTTCAGGAGGATGAACTTGGTCCAATCCACCTTCTTCTGGCTCACAGGTGGGTACCGCATTTTGTTGGTGCCCTCCATCTTCAGGTCCTTGATCAAGCAGGCGCGGCGGTGGGAGAAGGTCTCGAAGCTGTGCTTGCCGTGGTAGGCGCCCATCCCGCTGTGACCTGAGGGACACGAGCCAGGCAGGTCACCCCGCAGGCACAGCCTGGTCAAACCTTTGGCCACTTGAGGACAACTGACCCTTCCTCCCTGCAGCACTTCTCAGTCTCTGAGATGTCCATCTGTGCTCCACCCTGCTCCTTCCCCACCTCGTTTTCACTACGGACTCCCCAGTATTTTGTTGTGGTCCCTGTGCCTCTGAGCTGTCTCCAGCTCTTCCCTGGATTTAGCTCCCTCTCAAAGCACCATGCCAGGGCTCTGGGATCTGACTGGTGCTGTGTGAGATGGTTTCCCGAGGAGCTTTGCAGGGTACACCTCTGTGTTCCCATTCCAGGTCAGCGTGTGCTGTTCACACTGGTTCGCTGCCTGTAACCCCCAAAACCTTCTTTTGCAAAGCTTCCATGGACTGATCCATAACCTGTTCCAATTCTCCCCAAGCTAAAGTCCTACCCCTTCCACCTGCTAATCACTGCTAATCCCTCCGATTGCAGCTAATGTTTTTAATGTACCTTTCACATCAGTCTGCACTAAATGCTTTAAAATCTTTCCAAAAATACCCTAAAGGTTTTTCCCCTTTCTGGCCCCTGCCCTAATGCACTCCCAGAATTTGTTATTATTATCAAGATCTGATGCACAGAGACCCTTGGGCTGCAACAGGCACAGGGGTACCATGGGTTGCTCCCTGGGTCACACAGTGTGGCAAGTCCCAATGCTTAAGAAGCTGCAGTAACTTACCAACACCACCAAAGGGTAAGGTTGAGAGGAAGAAATGCATAATGACATCATTTCCAGTCACACCCCCACTGGAGGTTTCTGAGATGACTCTTTTGATTAACTAGCAAAAGAAAACAAACAAATCATTACAAAGACCCAGAAGAGATCAGGCCACATAACTGAGGATACTGGGAAGGGAGTCACAAGACAACAGGCCATCATGTTCATTTTCTCTGGCACAGCCCAGACCCACCTTCTTGTTGTTGGAGAAGACATACAAGGCAAGGGGCTTCTCCCGATGGTTGATGAACTCAATGGCTTCCTCTACGCTCTTCACGGTCACAATGGGCAGGACAGGCCCAAAGATTTCCTCCTCCATCACCTTGGAATCTGGGGAAACGTCCGTCAGGATGGTCGGTGCT